AAAACAAATTAATTGGACAACTAAAAATACATAGAAAAAAAATTAGCCAGGCATGGTGGCGCATGCCTGTAGTCCCAGCTACTCAGGAGGCTGAGGCAGGATTGCTTGAGCCCAGGAGTTTGAGGTTGCTGTGAGCTAGGATGACGCCACGGCACTCTAGCTCAGGCAAGAGAGTGAGACTCTGTCTCAAAAAAAAAAAAAAATCATCTGGGTTGAATTTATTATTTTTTTTCGTTTCAGATATTATGGGGATACAAACATTTTCATTGCATAAATTGCTTTTGTACCATTTGAGTCAAGGTTATAAGTGTGCCCATCCCCCAGATAGTGTGTGTTGTACCCATTAGGTGTGAAATTACCCATCCCTTCCTCCCCCCCACCTGCTTGATTTCCAATTAATGTTATTTCCATATGTGCACATAAGTGCTGATCGATTAGTTCCAATTTAATGGTGAGTACATGTGGTGTTTGTTTTTCCATTCTTGTGATACTTCACTTAGAAAAATAGTCTCCAGTTTCACCCAGGTTAATACAAGAGATATTAGTTCACCATTTTTTAATAGCTGAGGAGTACTCCATGGTATACATATACCACATTTTATTAATCCATTCTTGTATTGATGGGCACTTTGGTTGATTCCACATCTTTGCAATTGTGAATTGTGGTGCCTTAAAATGTTCGAGTGCAGGTGTCTTTTTTATAGAACGTCTTTTTTTCCTTTGGGTAAACACTCAGTAGTATTGCTGGATCAAATGGTGGTTCTACTTCTAGTTCTTTGAGGTATCTCCACACTACTTTCCATAGACATTGTACTAGTTTGTAGTCCCACCAGCAGTGTATTAGTATTCCTATCTCTCGGCATCCATGCCAGCATTTGTCGTTTTGGAACTTTCTGATAAAAGCCATTCTCACTGGAGTTAAGTGGTACCTCATTGTGTTTTGATTAGTATCTCCCTGATGATTAGAGATGTTTAGCATTTTTTCATATGTCTGTTGGCCTTTATATTTGCATGCTATACATCCAATAAAGGGCTGATAACTAGAAACTATAAGGAACTCAAGCAAATCAGCAAGAAAAAAATCAAATAAGCCCACTAAAATGTGAGCAAAAGACATGGGTGGAATTTTTATTACAATGATTATTAATGCATTGATCAAAAGAACATAAAGATATTGAAATTTTCAGTGCCTAATTATTACCTATAAGAAATAAAAACTTACTGGAAATCAGATCTTATTGAAACAGTGGTTTTTTTTTCAGTTAGTTTACATTACCTGTGGATGAGTGCTACGTATTATTAGAATGGGAGAGTCTAGCATCAATTCTAACCCACTTTTTTTTCTTTTATCAATGTAAATACTAGGAAAATCTGTTCTTATAAATAAGTACATGGAAATGGAGAATTTGAATAACAATTCTTTCAATTCTGAGTTAGACACCAAAAAAATCATGTAATGGTCAATCATCAAAAAAAAAAAAAAAACTTTTAATGATCTACCAGCTGACATCAGAACTTGCTAAAATTTATTTAAAGCAAAAATTGGCAACTAGCTGACTTACAAAAGTATTTTTTTTACTAGTGAATCATTCACCTTTATGATTGTACAATTATTTGATACTACAGAGATTTACCTCTAGAGCAACGCACGATGGTGCTTAAGATTCAGAATAGGTAAAGGAGAAGGGTAATAGTAAAAGGAAAGGTGTGAATGGAGAACAGGTCTCTCCATCACAGGAATTTCCAGATCGGTTTCGGCAAAGAATACTATGGATGTAGAGGAACTGAACACCGATTTCCCTTTTTTTTAAAGAAAAAAAAAGCCATGCTCTCCTAGCCCCAGAAGGGCTTTGCATTTTCATGTATCCCAGTTTGAAGATCACTGCTTTAGAAAACAGTCTTTATTAAATGTCTTTAGGTGCTCTAAAATGCCATATTGCTCTGAATTAGTCTCCATTTCCTTACAAATACAGTAATTTATCTTTACTTGTATTAACCTCTTGATTTATCTCAAAGTTTTCGTTAACAGGAAAAGTAAAGATGGTAATTAAAAATAAATCTTCCATCTGGAGGTCATTTGACCATCGTCATTCCCTAAGTTCAGAACAGCTTGCTCATAACCATTAAAGAACACAGGCTCTTTTATTGTATTTTGTACTATTTTATTCCAATAGTGAGAAATACTGCCTTTACTAATGTGGTAATGTACCCCTGAATTTTCCAGACTGTCAGTCTTCACCAATTATTTTCCTAAGAGCTGCTAAATGGCCCTTTGCTTGGTGCTGAGTGGATCCAGTCTTGAGTTCTTTGAAGTGTTGACACACCAATGCTTCCTTTTTAGCTCAACATGCCTTTTTCTCACTTCTTGCATAATAAGGCTCTTCTTTTCCTAGTTTTATTTTTAAACAGAAAGAATGGATGTTCAAATCTATTGTGCTTGGGCTTGGAATTTTTTCTTTAGTATGTTTATCAGTTAGAGGCTTTGTGGTGGCTAACTTCAGAGAATTTATCCCTCCTGGCTCATTAATTATTCCCCTTGTGAGGGATTTTCCCTACCTTTCCACTCTTGAAATTCAATTACATAACAGTGCATCATGCTCAACAAACTTCAAATCCCCAAAGATGACTTAGAAGGAATAAAAGAAATATCATTAAGGCTGGAACACTGGTTTAGTGATTACCAGTGGATGGAATATGAGATCTCACCCCTCCTGAACCCATGAAATAGGAAAACAGAGGGTGTGTAGCATCCCGGGTTTCTCTCTTTTGACTTTTGAGCCATCTTTGAGTTAGAAGAACTAGGACCCATCCCCCACCCAGAAAAGCTTTATTCCATACTTAACTAGGAAGAACTTCTGAAATCCCCCTCCCAGATTCCTTCTAACATCTATCTGCCCTATTTTGGTTAAGGAGGAATTGCTGAAGCAAAGTATTTCAATACTTCCAAGGACCAGAGGTATATTTTCTTGTATCTGTAGCTAATCCTTGATAAGCTGTTGTGAGTCTCTATTTATCCACACTAATACTTTCTCCAATGCATGCTAGATGCCATGCACCACAAAGCCAGGAGCAGCACGACAATGAGAGGAAAGGGGAGCTGGTGATTTTCTGGAGAATTTTGACTTTAATTTCAAAGAATTCTGTTTTCCTTGTATCTCCCAACCCCTAACCTCAAATTTAATTAAATTGGCTATGTTTTGGCAAAGTTTTGTCAAAGCCATCATTGGCTACTAATGACTTCTAAATCAATTGGGTGGTGATGGGTGAGAATATGGCTTTGCTACTTTCGCTTCGCAGTCAGCCTGGGGGTGGGAGGATCCCCTTCTGCTCGCAGAAGATGTTCAGGACAGTGACCTCTATCTGAATTCCTTTTTTTTTTCCTTTGACTGACTCTACCAGAACTGAGTTATAGGAATTGTTACAAGAGGAAATCTCAGATGTGTTCTTAATGAGAAAGGAAGTAAAAGGTAGATAGTATGAAAAGGACATGCCCTCTGCCAAGAGCAATATTCTAGAGCTCCATCGCAACACACCCCTGACAGCCCAGAATTTAATTAAGGAGGGTCTTATTTGCTATCTAGTCAGGGAGCCCAGTTACTGGAGGTGCCAGGAGAAAATCATGTTTAATACTACATATAATCATTAAATTATAAAGGTATACCAGAAAAGGAATGGGCTTTGGAATCCCATAATCCTCCTTGGTAATCACCTTTGCTCATTTATTTAGCCTTTTCTGAGAATCTGCTTATTTATCTGTAAAATGGGAATAATCAGTAGGTGGAACTTCCAGGGTTGTATGAGAATTATTAATAAATATGTACATCACCTAGCATAGTGCCTGGCACATTGTATGTGTCAATAAATGTGTTAATTCTCTTCCTCATCCTCTCACCTATAGTACAATAAACTTAGTATGCAATACATGTGAATGAATAAATTAGGAGAGAAATTCCAACATGCATACTAGAAACCAAGCCACAGGATATATATGTGACTTTCATGGATTTTCACAAGAATTCTCTCTTCTTTGTGTAACTGCATCTTAATGATTTAAATTCACACATTAACTATTCATTAGCTAGTTACTAAGCACACATTCTACGGCAAGTTCTATGTTGAAGGTTGGGGGCAGAGAGCAGTTAGGGGCAGGGGGCAGTGGAGATATAAAGACATGATACAAAAGACAAGGTACCTTTGAGTTCAGGAAACAACAAAAGTCTTGTACACAATTTGTTGCTGCTTGTGTGTGATAAGGTGGTGGACACAATGAGTCATGCAGAAGGCACGAAGCTGTGTCAGTGGCCACACTTACAAGCTTTCCATCTCTTTCTAATATCCCCTCGGATTCAGGCTTGTCTGTCTTTTAACCGTGGCTCTAATTAGCAGCATGATCTTGGGCAAGTTACTTTACCTCTCAAGGCACTTCCCACCTATAAAATGAGAATAGTAATCTCTCCCTGTATTTTAAAAGATAATATATATGAAAGATTCTAACATAGTCAACCACAGGAGTTACATAATTCATGATCACTTTTCAAAGGAAACAGAAAATTGGACTGGTGAGGGGGATTGGTGAACTCTGCAGCCATTTTATTTCTTGGTATCAAATCTAGCAAAAAGTTAAAGGAAGAGAAGTTGTAGACTTATTACTGTAATGACCTGTGGGGATTGTTTCTTGATTTTAATCATCTGTGTGATTGCTACCCCCATTACCAGAGATAGTCAAGAAGCATGAGTCATGAGGCTGGGTGTGGTGGCTCACATCTGTAATCCTAGTACTCTGGGAGGCCGAGGCAGGAGGATCACTCAAGGTCAGGAGACAAGCCTAAGCAAGAGTGTGACCTCGTCTCTATTAAAAAAAAAAAAAAAGGCCTGAGTCAGCATTTGACAATTTGACATAGCAACATGGCCTAGCAAGGTAGTGCAGATTCATACTTTTTCTTCTTAATAGATAAACAAATGAAGCAACTTGTTTTTCCTTTCTTTCATTTTGATTTCAGTGACAAGATGTTCCCAGCCTTTGGGTTTGGTGCCAGGATACCCCCAGAGTACACGGTGAGCAACTAGAGATGGGATCTTCTTTCACTTTGCTGTGGTTCTGGGATAACTTGGGTTTCCTTCGTAGCAGTCTCCCCTCTGTTGGCTCTTCACACAACTGTGTGAGTAGGGCCCCAAGAGTCAGAAGTGGTCTTCAGAACCAGCAAGATTAACTCCTCAGAGCCTGTCTCTTGATGAAACCTGATCTGCCAGTATTCCGGGTGGGTCTTCTCAGAGGTCCAGACAAAGAGTTCCACTGTTTAGCTTCCTGTAGATATAGTCAGAGACTGAGAAAGCACTCAAGAAATTGATCTCCCAAGGCTCACAACCTATCCATTCATATCTACCCTAGGAAATAGAATCAAAATAAATCCTATTGACAATGCCAACTATGAAAGTCCCTGATGATGAAGTCTACAAACTCCCTCATCCCAAGGAGACACAGACAAGTCCTGAGAAAGAACCATTAGGGCTTAGAGGACTGGGAAGCTGAAAGGTTCTTATGAAGACATTATGACCCTATTTGTTTTTGATAATGATTTCTCATCACAGAAAGAAGGCAGAGATTGTGTGTAGAGAAATTTGCGCTGTAATGGAGCTGAGGCACTCTACTATAGTATACCAGATGCTTCTGTGGAACACTCTCCACAGAGAACTCAGTTCCCCCAGTGGGCAGAGGTTGGAGAGGCAGCAAGGTCCCTGCCCCAGCTTCCACCTCCCCAATGCCTCTGAGGCCTGAGCTAATTGCAAGCAACACTGCCTGATCATTAATGTCTCTTTTACTGATTATGTCTGAGCTGCAGGTCAGGAGGAAGATGCTGACATTTGCTCCCTCATCAGAGCTGTCAGACAAGGGGCCTTCCCCTTCTATGTTCTTTTTGAAAAAGGAAATCAATCTTGTCACTACTGGGTGAGCAGTGGATGGAATGGCATGTCTCCCTGACCTGTTTGCCTTGTTGTTTGCCTCATATTCCACGTTGGCCTTCCTGCTGGGCATGGCTATGGAATTCTAGAAGCATTTGTTGGAAATAGAGCATATGGAGAGAAAAACTATAGAGTGGGAGTTGTTGACTGGTGGCCTGTAGACATTATTCAGGCCATAAATGTATTATATTTGACATATTTTTTTAAAGAATTAGGCAATTTTATATAAAATGTCAAATTTCTGGCTTCTCTTGAAAAACTGAAAGCCTGGCAACACTAAGATTAAAAATAACCTCTGCAAGAATCAGCTGGAGCTGAGGAGATACAGTCCCATGCAGATGTGGTATCAGCTCCAGCTTGCCGGCAGGTGGGTGCCCACTTTCTTTTTTGAGCTACTGAGCCTCAAGACTAGAACACCACCACCAGCCCAACTCCCCAGGGATGCTTGAGTGGTCTCCATCAACGTCCCCACACGTGGTCTTCCAGCCTCAGCTTGGCCCAACAGTGCTGAGGACAGGGCTGAGCAGCACACCTTGTTCTCAGCCTTCCTTTTCTCATTCATGACAACTTCCTGGTTTCCATTTTGGAATAACGGATCCTTCTTGCTGTTTTCTGAAGTCCTCATGTTCTTTTGATCCCCTAGCTCCATCCTATCTGTCAGCTAACTTACTCTTCCTGCTGTCCCAGTAGACATCTCTCATATTTCCTGACTTCTGTTCCCAAAAAGCCATTCAAATATCCCTTTTCCATGCCTGATTTCCCCTGTGCCCTAGACAAGCACTGACGGTCTGAGCAGCTCAGGTGCTACCCAGAGAGTTTACAAGGTCATCACAATGTACTTCTTTCGGACAAAATCTCAGAGTATGCATTGAAACTGAAACCCAAACACCTCTGTTTTAGTTTGTACTCCCCCAGGAACAGACATTAAGAATACAATTTAGATGCAAGTAGTTTGAGAGGTGGAGAAAACCTCAACAGAGAGTTGGGAAATGGAAGGAAGTCAGCATCAGGTGTATCATCAATCCAGTTACCACCGTGGCAGCTGGAGCTTAATCCTGCTGGGGAACCCTAAGGGATGATGTACAGCACACACAGACCCCAAGGGATAAAGGAGCTGGCGTATTCATACATCTCCTATCAATGACTGATTAAGGGCTGCTCCCAAGCAACATTTTCTCAACACTTTTACTCTGTCACTTGGACAGAAAAGCAGGCTCTGAAGACCAGAGAAAAACATAAAGTAAATAAAGCACGTAAGATGGCTGGAAGTCGGCTGACTTGCCTGGAAGTGCTGAGGGCAAGAGAATATGAGATAGGCACCAACAGCCTCACCTATGACCTCCCATTAAGAAAGGACATGTCTTTTAACACAGTGACCTATTTTATAGCCACCTCAAAGAGTCAGACCTTGGAAACATCCTTTGAAATAGAATTCTCCACAAAATTCCAAATGATTCAACAAAACTGTTCAGGTGCCAGAATGTCCCTCCTATTTTATCAGGTTTTTGGAAAGCAAAAGTAAACAATATATTATTTGACCTTATGGATAGGTCCTGCCAAGTAGAGGGATTTGTGTTGGAAGATTACAAGGTATATTACTTTATTACTTTTCCAAAAGTAGAGTACAGTCTATTTTACTTGTGTATATGTGAAAATTCTCCTGCCCTATAGCTCTGCATATCATGTTAGGATAATTCTGAAATGTCAACAGCTTAGGTGGAGCCTTTATAACCATCAGCTTGAGTTATTAAGTTATCTTTTTTTTTTAATCCCTGGGTCCAAATAGAGCTCAGCCAAATCTAAGCCTCCAGTCTGTGGCCAGTTCTGTCTAGAAGCTATTTGGAGTTACATTTTTCTGAAATCTTTTCCTGAATTTTTAAAATATGCCTTATTGCCCCCTCTTGCCAGCGTTTATCTGATTCTAGAAAATCTTAACTCAACAGGGAGCTTAGCATTCACCCTCCATCTTAGATTGATTGTGTAAAGGCTTAAAATGGTTCCTGCTGCTTAACAATAATGAATGTAATGGGCATTTGTTTGCAAACTCTAAACCCCAGTGGCTCCTTACTGGATTAAAGTTGTAATTCTTCTTTCTTCCTGTTTTTAAATTTTAATTGATGTCTAGGTCTCTCATGACTTTGCAATCAACTTTAATGAAGACAACCCAGAATGTGCAGGTAAATCACAATGTAAAAGAAAGCCAGTTTCTCACAGCCCTCCCTTCTGCACCATGTTAGTTTCTGTCCACTGATGTAGCATATCAGTTATGATTGTCCACAGCAGACAAGTAGACTTTCTGGATCCAAATAAACTGCACCACTCCAGAGGAAACAGAGAGCCATAGTAACAGATCAGAAAAATAACAGTAAAAGACAGAATGCAGAAGAGGTCTTGAGCTTACAGCAAGAACGTTGACCCCAGTCCTGGATTCCTCTGACTAAAGCTAGCTGGCTAGCTAGATAAAGGGAATGGGGAGTTTCACCCGATGGACAGTGATGAGATATCCCTCTTTCTGCTTTCCAAATTTTCATCAAGTATTTTTTTTACAACTTCCTCTATATGCAGGTATAAGGAGAAGGGGAAATATGGAAAATATTTGGCACTTTCAGCATGTTGGCAAAGAATGTGGCCTCAGTGACTTTGAATAAGCAGTCATGTCTTTGTGTCATAAAGAACATTCTCAAAGTCTATGTTCCATTATTTCCAACCAGAAGATTCCACAAAATAATGATGCTGAAACCGTGATGTTAAATTTCATTCTAGAATTATTTTTCCTGCTTCCTAAGTAACAGATAGAGCCAAGAACATTTGTTACTGTGAAGCTCATAAGACGTTTTCATAGTAGAAATGTCCATATCTCTCTCCTTCTTGCCAAGGAGGAGGGAGAGATGGACCAGGGTTAATTCAGGTCCAGTAAGATATGCAAAGCTTCTGGCAATTTATTTCACAAACTTAGCACTTAATGACCAAGAATGTGATATCAATATCATTGGATCTGAACATAGTAACCTCCAAGACCCAATCTCCATTCTTCCATTATTCCTTCCCATGATCTCTTGGTTTATTATGGTTTAGACTTTCCTCATCCCCACCCATCCCCGTTCTTAAACTATAGGAGTGGTTTTCCACCAAAGAATGAAATATAAACCCTATTGTCACCTGTTTCACAGTCTTAGAATTCATATGCCTGATATTTTTGAAAAGGAAATCAAACTTGCTTATCTTAAGCAAAAACCCAAGAACCAAAAGAGATAAGGAACTTCCACTCAGCATCACTTAATTTCAAAACCAAACTGCAATGTGATTTTGAGTCTGTCTTTAGAGTGTCAGTCTTTGGGTCAGGCCCAGGTGGGTGAAGCCTTTTCAATGAGTTGGAAGCATGTGCTTAAAGGCAGAACAGAATTGAACTTGCTCATCCAAAATCCCCAAGAGCTGGTTTGCAGTGCATGGTGGCTATGGAGAACAATCTCGTGAGGGGCTTGTATGGATCCCTCTGGCCCAAACAGGACTGATGTGCTATTTTAGGATAGAAAGGGACAGGAGGATGAGCTGGGAGAAGGGAAAGCAAGAGATAACACAGGCACAGACATCAAGACCAGCCATTTGAATAAAAATAATTTGTAATATGACTATTATTTTGAGATCAGGATTATAACATAAAATGTACAGTCAAGACTCTCCAAGTGCTAGGAGAAGCTGCACAGGCAGGGCTGCCTCTCCTAGTAGAGTCCCAGGCTTTACTATAATATTTCCTGGATGGAAGCCCCCTTTGGATGAAGGGTTGACCATGGTGATGACCATCACTCATCTGTACTACTACTGTCAGTGGGTGAGTCTATCAGCCATCTCACCCATTCCTCACACACTCAGTGAGCATTTACCATGTGCCTGATACTGCCTCAGGCTCTTTTAGGGAATACAAAAGTGAGTAAGTCATGATTCCTGCCCACAAGGAGTGTAACATCTGGAGAGATGGTGATGAGAACGTACAATCCTTATAGATGGCCCTGGTGGTAGATACTAGAGTCAACATGGTGTTGTGCAAACTAGAGGAGCGTTAAAGCTGACTTGCCTAGTGGCTGAGGACACAGCTCTTAGAGCCAGGCAGACCTGGGTTGAAATCCTCAGCCTGTAACTCACTTGCTGTGTGACCTGGGGCCGATCATTTAACCTCTTAAGCTTCTGTTTCTTCACCTATTTCATTATGCTATGAGGATCTAATGAAATTTGACACGTAAAGTGGGATATTAGGGAAAATTTGTGGAAACGTTGTTTGTGACTTAGGCCTTTAAAGAAGAGAATGATTTCAGTGGGGAAGGAGGCAGCAACGGTAGCAATGTGGTATTCCCTTTTAGCTAGAGAACATAAATGTGATGTTGATAAGAACTATTTGGAGAAAAGCAATGCTATATTTTTGTCTGTGGTTGACTATAAACGTATTTGGAGGAACTATTGATCTTTGCTAATCTCACCATAGGAATTCAAGGAGTTGTGGAAGCCTATCAGAGCTGCCTTCCGAAGCTCCAACTCTACGGTCCCACCAACATTGCCCCCATCATTCAGAAGGTTGCCAAGTCAGCCTCGGAGGAGACTAACACCAAGGAGGCCTCGGTAAGGAGAGAGCGACTCGCCTGCTAACAGGAGGTTACCCTTCTTCACCTGGGTATTGGCCATAACACCCATCCCACTAGGCCAATAAATTCCAGCATTTCTACGCATATGAATTTGGAAGAGTGACTTAACCCTCTCCTGTCCTCAGTCTGCTCGTCTGAAAATGAGCATCATGAAACCCATCTCTGCTGGGTTGTGAAGCTTAGAGATGACACATGTCAAATGTCTACCACATTGCCTGAAAACAGGCGACACTCAATAATGGAAGCTACTATATTCGCTGAAGTATGTCATATCTACCTCCTATGCCTGGAAAGAAAAAAAACAAAAACTCCACCCAAATGTAGGCTTGCTTTCTAATGTGCCCATACTACAGATGGAAGTGAAACACCACAGAAGTAAAACAATGGATTATTTTGCCCCCTGGTGGTGAAGTGCAGCAACACACAACATCACAGCAAAGATTTGTTTCACATTCTATGGGTTTTCTTAAGAAAAATGTAAGCCAAGGGCAAACAAGGTTTGGGTTTTCATCTAATATTTTAAAAGTAAATATATTATCATAATAACTTTTCTGTATATCATTTTAATGATATCAATATACTTCTTTTTAAGCTTTATGGGTTTTTTTTCAGATTTAGTAGACTATTACTGATGTCTGAAATTCTCTCTAATTTTATCCTGGGTTCCAGGATACTGAGTTTTCATAAAGAAAATAATATACTACTCCCTCATCTTTTTACATCAACTCCTCTATCCTTCTTGCACTGCACCCATGATCTCAGCCTTCCCTCCTGTTAGAATGGATGGAGGACCACACTGCTGCCTGATGTCAGCCTCTCCTTCGGTGCATGGGAGCACATCCCCTCCCAGTTACCCAAGGATTGTGACCCAGCCGTTATAGTCTCTCTCTTTCTCCTTATCATCTATTATCATCTATTCTTTTCTGTTTCCACTTCACCTTCTACTGAAGACTTATTCCCATTAGCAAGTAAGTATTCTTGCTCATGGAAAGACTCATGCCCAAATAGCAAGTAATCATTCTATTGTATCTCCTGTTTAAGTTAAAAATCTCTCCCTTGACCCCACTTTACACTGTAGCTACTATTCCTACCTTTTTCCCACTCTGATACATGCTTCACACAGAAACCAGATTGGTCTTTTAAAAATACAATTAGTATCATGTCACTCCTTTGCTCTAAATCCTCCAATACTTCTCATCGTGCTTAGAATAAAATCTAAATTCCCTAATATGGCCTAGATGGCACTATATACCCTACTCCCTGCCTAGCTCCCTGATCTTAACTCCTATCACTCTCTCTTTTGCTCCCTACATTCCAGCCACACCGACCTTCTTGCTGTTCCTTTAATATGCCAAACATATTCCCACATCCAGGCCTTTGCACTAGCTGCTCCCTCAGGGTTTCTCTCACCCCAAACCTCCACATGATCCACTAGCTCTGCTCAACTATCAACTCCTCTGAAAGTTCCTCCTGGTTACCTTGTCCAAAATAGCCAATCCACCCACCCCTACTATGTCTTAGATTTACTTTTCTTCTTAGCACTTATCATCACCTGAACTACTTTAGATGCATTTCCCTATTTGTGTATCTTGTCTCCTCCACTTTCATATGAAAGTCTACAATGAGAAGACCTTATTCGCTGTATATCCCCAGTATACAAAACAATGCTTCACACACTATGTGCTCAATAAATACTTATTTAAAGAATGAATATGAAACCATTCTAAAATTACTTTTCATACATATATGATGATAAGTACTTTGAATTTTATTTTGTAAAATTTGTGTGTATGTTAAATATTGTACATCTTATATGCCAGGATGGTGTTCTTGTTTTAGTTAAAATTTGAAGTCTCTCCTACTTGAAAAGATCAGAGTTCCCAAGGTCCCTAGAGGGAATGACAGTAACCACATGCCTTTGTTCAGTCCACTGTCTCTTTCCTACATCTGAGTGGCATCTTCAATTCTTCCCGGCTTGGGTCATTTAGTGACCTACAAGGGAATGGAGATAGCTTGAAGCAAATTTTTATTTTAGACTAATGTTTTTAAAATGTTCTTTCATTTACATAGCTGACCACAGTTTTAATCTCCTACCCAACATCCATCAGGTGACCAGAGTTATCCATGAAAAATAAATGTGCCTGATCCGTGTGGCAACTTCTCTTACCTCTTCTGCTCATTACATATGTTCTTGAACTCCTGACCTCAAGCAATCCTCCTGCCTCAGCCTCCCAGAGTGCTAGGATTACAGGCGTGAGGCACCATGCCCGGCCTACCTATGTTCTTAAAATCACTAACCGATGGTTTGACCACAAAGAGGCTTGGAGACCCTGCACAGTCACTTTCTGACCTCTGGGGAGTTAAAGGTGTGTTTCCTTGGATAACAAGTTCCAAATAGTCATCGACTATGGACAGGTTGGCCTTTAAGCTGGGCAGAGCCACTCTATAATCTGGGATCTCATCTAGCACAGATGCTGGCAGCTTGATGCTGTACAGGTCTGCTTCAGGTGTTGAAGCTAAGAAAATCATGCCTCCTCTCTGCTCATCTTTTCTCTTCTCTTAAGAAACCACCACCAATTCTCAGCATTGCAGACCAACACTCCACCGGTGTGTGGACTCTTCGAGGCTTCCCCTGATGTATCTCCCTCTTTCCACAGAGGCCTTGGACAAATTTGAACCCTCACAGATGCAAGATTTAGGGATAGGGGTTGGACAGGATCAGTATTTCATTTTATTTTTTAACTTTTTTTTTTTTTTTTGTAGCAGCAGGACCCATTCTTCAAACAATAACTTGCTTAGAAACCCAACATATAAAGTCGATTAAAACACACACACACACACACACACACACACACACACACACACACAATTCTTGCCAAATTTAGGTTAAGGGGTAGAGTCAAAATTTGTCTGTTCTGCTTTACCCTTTTATCCCCAAGAGTATCCAAGGCATCCTTAGAGCATCCCTAGGGCATCCTTAGAGCCCAGTTTAAAACAGGATGGTCTCATCCCCTCTGGGTTACCAGAACCCACCAGAGTAAAAAGAGAACAGGGCTGGTGTAGGCCTGGATTTTGGTCTGATATAAACCAGCATGAGTTTTTGGCCATCACTCACTTGCCAAGGGACAGGTGGGGCTGGTCTGAAAGGACAGGCCAGGAAACAGGATCATGTTCAAGAAGCATCCAGTCCACGTATCCCCAAATATATTATTCCCATAGGTCAGGAATAGACGCTTTTCCCCAGGGGTTTTTCCTGTTCTTTGAACAGTTTGTGGTCCGGGATCCTTTGTTATCACTGGTTGCTAAGGGTCATAAACTTGAACCTCTTAGGCCGGCTGTGTCAGGGAGTCTGTTGCTATAGGATTTTCTTCTTTATTTTGTGGAACTCTCCTAGAAAAAAAAAATCCCCTCTTTATCTAAACAGGACCTCAAGTATATTCAAAGACTATTTCGTATTTCATCCCTGAGCATTTTCCCAGCCTGACTTTGGAAGGAACTATTACCGCTAGCCGTATTGGAAATCTCCTTCAGGGTTTCGATCCAGCCGTCTGCAGCCTATTACCTTTAGCTAGATGAAACCTGGAAGGATCAGATTCTAGAATCCTGACAATCTCTTCAGACCAGGGGTTCTTAACCATTTTTGTTCCATAAACCCTGTAGCAGCTGGTAAAGCCCATAGATCCCTTCTCAGAAGTATTTTTAAGTGCACAAAATAAAATATATACTATTAAGTAAACAAATTATATTGAAATGCAGTTAGCAAAATATTTTAAAATGTGACAAAGAAGCATCATAAATATAGTAATAAAATACCTTTTTATTTACATATTAAATTATGAGAACCAGTAGCTAGTCTAACAATTCTGCAATTTCTAAGTAGTGTTGCGTGTAAATGGCACATTTAAGTATCTGCAGCCACTGTAATTTGTCAGGAAAATATCTGTGATTTTTTAATTGGTGACTAAGTCACAAGTACAGCTAATACTAATTTGATGTGTTGATTACATTTATAATTGAAACAAGATAGATTTCTATTGGAGATTAGTGAAAATAAAAAAGTAATTTACCCCAAGTTCACAGACTGCCTGAAATCTTTCAACAGTCCGTAGACCCAGACTAGGAACACCTGCTATAGATCACAGGGCAGCAAACTCTATCCTGCAGCCTGTTTTTCAATGGCTTGCAAGCTAAGAATGGTTTTTACATTTTTTAATGGTTCAAAAAAATCAAAAGAAGAATATCTAGTGACACATGAAAATTATATGACAATCAAATTTCAGTATCAATGAATAAAGTGTTATTGGAACATACCACTCCCGTTCATTTTAAATATTGTCTATGGCTGTTTCCACACTACGGCAGCAGTGTTAGGTAGTTGAGACAGAAGCCATTATGGCCTGCAAAATATTTATTAATGTCCCTTTAAGTAAACTGTTTCCCAACTCCTGCTCTAGACCATTACAATTCTAAAGTTTCTCAGTGTGGTGGTGTGACTATCAGGGATTTTTTGTTTTGTTTTGTTTTGTTTCTTAAGGCATTGAGCAGTAGGGAAGATTTATCCCCTGCACTGTAAAGATCAGATCAGATAGGAGTTAGGGGAGGGTGGAGAATAAAGGAAAAGGATGCAGAACTACGATTTCCTCAAGGGCCCACCTGCTCGTGAATTACAGTCTCCTTTCAGGCATGGCATCTGTCCTGGCCCTCTAAGCTGCACAGTGGGGAGGGTGGCTTGTGATTCTGGTGCATTCCAGACCCTTCACTCCCTCCCCCGACCACCAGCATTGCCTCCTTCTGCTCCTTTGCTCTGTGATGCTCCCTCTTCACCTCGTCCTACTGAAACCCTGCTCTAAACTCCCAAGCCAGCTTCCTTGTCAACATGTAAGACTCGAGAAGCATAGACAGAGATGGAAATACACAACTCCAGTGAATTTGGAAATTAGGCAGTCAGCTAGGACTACAGGTAGGTGATAAGTTAATGGACATGGAACAGAATTAGTCTTCACATTAAACTGTATGGAAAGCATTCAGAACATGTGGCTGTCTTTATCATAGTGTGAATTTCAGTTATCTCCAGTTCATATTTTTTGTTTAAATACATTTTTAAGGCTTACAGAGAAAAGAGGAAACTATTTAGTACTGCTAGCCTATTTGCAACCTTAAGTGTATGATTCTTAAAACCAGATGTTTTCAAAATGTAGCTCTTCTATCCAGTCTTTCTCCTTTGAAATATGGCAACTTGGAATGGTTTAATCTTCCCACATTTTTTCCCTGTGGATGTTGGGGAAATTGCAGGGATTATACTGGAAGTTCTTCTGAGTTCAGCGTGAGCTACAGCTCACTAATCTTCTCTCCCATCTTACCAGTAAAGGCCACCATGGTGCCTTCCTTGATGACTAACAGCAGTGATGACCTTCAACGAGTTTTCCTTCCCCAGACCCCAAAGCACTTCCCAAGCCTTCCCTGTTGCTGAGTGCAGAGCCTTTCTGCCAGTCCCATCTCTAATGAGTGCCTGCGGCTTCTCCAGGTGGAAAGGGGCCAGGCAGGCTGCAGGCCGGGAGCCAGGACTTAGAGCAGGAAGCCAAGGGACACCACAGCCTTCTGTATGTGTGCTGGAAAAGGGCCGCCACCTTCTTGGCACACGGCCTTCAGAAGGAGAGATTGCAACCCTGACCCTCTTTTAGCAGGGCCTAGACTAGTGCCTTCTGGTAGAAATATAATGCAAGTTAGGTATACAACTTTAAATTCTTCAGTAACTGCATTTTAAGAAGTAAAAAGAAACAGGGAGATCAATTTTCATAATATATTCAACCCAACATGGCCAACATATTGTCATTTTAGCATGTACTTCATATAAAAAATTATTAATAACAATTTTATATTCTTTTCTTGTGTGCTAAGTCTTCAAAATCCATGTGTATTTTACACTTACAGCATCTCAGTTTGGATCCTAAGTTATCATCACAAATACTTAGTATTTATTTAGATTTGATAAATTAATAGTTGAAAAAGTAGATTCACATGCATAAGTTGTCCCAAACATACATAAAATGTTTCCAATAACTGAATTGGGTACCCATTTTTAAAGTTAAACTTAGATTAATTAAAATTAAATAAAATTCAACATTTAGTTCCTCATTTGCTCTAGCCACATTTTAAGGGCTCAGTAGTCTCAGGGAGCTAGTGGCTATTGTATTGGACAGCACAGCTTTAGATTTCTAAATATCTTCTTGCTGAAGAAGATCATATAAATGATCTGGCCCCACCGCTCATTTAAGAAATGAAGAAGCTGAGACCCAGAGGAGTTAAGGGATTTTCCCAGGGTTTCACAGAATGAGGCTGAGAAGCCAGTACTGACTCTTGGTCTGTACTCTTGCTCCTTCTGCCACACTGTACTTTTTGACTGTCAGTAGGGTGGTTATTATAATTAAGCTATAATTACTGTGCCTGCCTTTAAGCTCCATTCATCATAACCTTAAGCCTTTAGAGCTATCAGCACAGGCACTCAAAAATTGTTCGTCATCACCATTGCTTTGGTCAATGTGCAGTGAAGCCACCCAGATGCTAACTGGTATCGTATTTTCCTTGTCTCCCCCACCTCTATGTTGCCCGTCATGACCTGGCATCTGATGGCAGCAATACTTCATCCTACTGATCCTGACAGATGGTGTCATCACAGACATGGCCGACACCCGGGAGGCCATTGTCCACGCCTCCCACCTCCCCATGTCAGTCATCATCGTGGGAGTGGGGAATGCTGACTTCAGTGACATGCAGATGCTGGACGGTGACGACGGGATTCTGAGGTCACCCAAAGGAGAGCCTGTCCTTCGAGACATCGTGCAGTTTGTGCCCTTCAGGAACTTCAAACACGTATGCATTTACATCTTGGGGACGCTTCCAGTGGGAGAGAAGAACTAAAGCATGCTCACCCCTCACATTTGTCCACCAGTGTTTGCAATGATCTTCTCTTCTTGAAGCAACACCAGCTATCCCTCCCTTGGGCAGGCCCTCTCCCACAGCAAGGATTCGTAGAGTTTGACTCTTTGGAGAAAGAAATGTAAATTGAGTTAGAGATAAGGAGTCATGCTAACTATGGTAGCCAAAATTTCACCGATGCTTGGTCTCAGCCATATAATTTAGTACCCCCAGGGCTGCCATGCACAGTTGGGAATCTTGTTCCCTGCCCAAGTATGCCTGGCCAAAGTAGCAAGGAGAAGCCAAAATTCAGCCTGGCTTCTGTTTGCCAAGCCACGTACCCTGGTAGAAGTCTTTTTTGCCTTGGCAAAGTGTGTTTTCAAAATGATAGAATCTTAAATCTTCTATAAATACATAGTAAGCAGCATCAAAGATTTATTTAACTCATTCATGAGCAAGATGACAAAGGTAGTTCAAAGGAGTATAATAAGACAGTTAAATATGGTCAGTGAGAGGGAAATGCTGGAATAAGTTTGCTAAGATACATTCAAAACTGGTTAGTGATCAACAGGGTTAAAAAGAACTCATAATTTTTGAATTACCTTCTCTACTGAACAGAAATCATTTGCTTTCTATCAGTTTTCTACAAATCAGCAACTAACTTTACATTCTTGGGCTCTTACCAAAAAGAAATATTAAGTCAAGCAGCACTGCATTCCTCAATGGCCTTGAAGCAGGTGCATTAGACAACATTGAAACAGTGCTCAGAAATAATTTTTTCACATTCCTGAATTTTGGATAATCAATAAGTCCCTGGAGGAAGGAGCACCTTTGAAATTTCCATAAAACCCTGCACCTATTGAGCTACAATCACCCAGAAGGACACCTTGTGTAATTCATAAAAGTGTCCCTCTGCTCTAGTGATGGCCCTGAAGACCCCTCACAGCCTCCCCCAGCTCTGTCTGGGAGTCTGAGGGGGTAATGTGGGTATTGACAGACAGTCCTCGTGTTCTTTCAGTTTGTGCCCCTTGTAAAAGCTGTCCTGGAGCAGAGACTTTCCCCAGCCCCTGCTACCCACCAAGGCCTTACCCTCTGCACTGCTGTTGGTGCCAACAATGCCACTCCCAGGGGCTGGTGACTAAACTTGAGCAGCCCCGGAAGGAGGGAATCTGCAGAATCTTCAGCATCCGGAGCTGCTTTCCAGTCTCCTTGGAAAAGAAGAGAATCCTCTCCTTCCCATGCTGCAGGGTGCCTTCTGTCACTTGAGCCATTAATGCAGTGAAGTCTGTGTCCCCACATCTCAAGGATCCCTGCTGGAAAATATCTTCATCAGCTTCCACCACTCCCCTCCCCTCATAGGGCTCAAGTCAGCTCCTTAGGCCAGGGAGAGGAAGGGACAGGCAGCATACCATCCCATCCACTCCAAACTTCCCTTCTGACGCTTATTTGGTAAAACCAGTCAAAGACTCTCATTCAAATGAATCCCAACGTTCTTCACAGCCAGCTTATCGTATATGTCCAGACACATCTGAATCCCAGTTTGGGCTCACACTGGGACCCCAGCTATACTGTGCAAGGTAATTACAGGGAGTGGAAAGATGAATGGGTCGTCATAATAAACAATGACCTATCCTTCCACCCCCTATACTTTCCTTCCTGTAGTCCTAATATCAAAGCCTTTAGCATATGCTCCTCAGAAATTGCTGTTTGATCTGCTGCCTTCTTAAGACAGGCTTTAAAGTGAGCATTCAGATAAATCACCAGCCCAGCAGCCTCAGCTGAACCCTAGAGTTTATGACCTACCCAGACCTTCTAGGGAAGTAACTGCACACTCCAGGCCTCCTTGAATGTTGTACTGCCACACAATTACCATTCTACTTTTAAGGAGGGTTGCAGTGTAACTATAATCATCAAAGGAGCAGAAAATCAGTCCCTGGCTACAGAGTGGAGTGCAGAGAGAGTTTCCAAGTAATAGCAGCAGCAACCAATCTCTCCTGCAAGCTCTCCAGGCAATGCATATGAGTAAGGGATAATTGTGCTGTCATATCCCGTCTTCAACTTTTCCGAGGAGGAGATTTCCAAGTAAAAGCACTCATTAAATGAAAGAAACTCACCAAGTCCTCAATTTATCTGCATATGGATAAAAGAAGTAGAGTCAAAAAGAAGTAATATTCTTTACAAGGAGAGATGTGCTAGAGCAGGCTAAATTTGCTGGAATTATGTTCATCAATGAAGCTAGTTACCTCCCATAGTGTCCAAGGTGGCGGGAAGGGTGGTCTTCCAGACTCTTATGTCCTGCTCCATTTTGTCAGCCAGGCAAAAGAGGTAGCCGCATCACTGACCACCACCTATAACTTTGCCTGAGTGAAGAATAATCAAAGAGCTCACTCCCTAGGAGATTCATGAACTTCCCCAAACCACCCTCTTTCTCCTCCCCTGCCATGCATGTGTGTGCCACCGAACGGTGAAATGTTCTAACCTCTATCCCCAAGCCTCCTCCTCTTCCCCAAGCACTCATGGAGTGCCTGTTCCGTGCAAGGCACATGCTAGGCACTAGGACCACAACGAGATGATAAAGCCATGGACCCAGGCCTCAAGGAAATTACTGGAGAATTGCAGGATTGGGACAAAGGTATCAGCAGAAAAATCATGTTCTAAGCAACCTGTGGATAATTGAGAAGAACTTGCTATAGGACTTCAGAGCAGAGAGAAGTAGCCATGGGAAAAGCCTTGCAGCTTATGTCAGGTACTTGAGGAAGGACAGAACTTGGTAAGCAGGGAGTTGAGGGGCATCAGCAACAAGTGGAGTGCTCCAAACAGGGTGAGGAGATCGGCGCTGCTCAGTCTCTGTGCCACATGGAGTCTCCTGCCGCTCTGTGGATGACCAAGGCAGAATGCCAGAAGCATATCTACCCCACCTTATCTTCATGGATTTCAAATTAGATTTTGAAAGCCATTTCATTATCCAAACTAATCTACTCTGAATTTAATAAGCCAAAGTAAAAGGGAAGGCGAGGAGCTTAAATCATTTTATATAAGCCATTAACCCATCAATCGCCTCTCTTTATCCGTTCTGTATGATAACTCAGAGCTTTAAAGTATACAGGCCACAGGCTTTTAGTCCATTTTCTGCTACTATATGAGAATACCACAGACTAGGTAATTTATAAAGAACAGAAGTTTGTTTGGCTCATGGTTCTGGAGACTGGGAAGTCCGAGAGCATGATAACAGCATCTGTCAAGGATCATCCACGGTGGAAGGGCAGAAGATGGAAGTGAACATGCAAGACACAGAGAGAGAAAAAGCATGAGCAGCATATTCCCTTTTATAATAACCCACTCTCGTGATAACTAACCCAGTCTCTGATAATAACCTCTTATCAGGGCCCACCTTCCAACATCGTTGCATTGGGAATTAAGTTTCCAGCACATGGATTTAGGGGGCACATTCAAATAGCCGGCTCCAAATTATGTGGCTCTGGGCAATTTATTTAACCTCTCTGTGCTACAGATTTTCATCTGTGAAATGAGGCAAATGATACATGCATTGGAAGATTAAAGTGGCATCTATATAAAGCTCAGTACAGTGTCTGTTCCACAGAGATGGTTAACAAATACAGCTTTTATTACTGTTATTACTAGCTGCTTTCATATTCTTGGCCTTTTCTCAACCAATTAATGTCCCCAAAGCCTTACTCGCTTGCCACCAGCACAGATATGCAAAGGAGTGGGGGAATCACTTAGGAACTGTGCTGTTCAATATGGTAGCCACTAGCTACATGTGGCTATTTAAATTTAAATTCATTAAAATTAAATAAACTTTAAAACTCAGTTCCTCAGTCACACTAGCCTCATTTCAGGGGCTCAATAGTTGCATGTGGCTAGTGACTCCCATATTAGACAGCAAAAATATAGAATATCTCCATCATTGCAGAAAGTTCTATTTGACAGCCCTATTCAGAAATATTTTTGGCTGCAAGTAAAAGCAAATCCATCTTACAGTGGATTACATGAGTGGTCCTTAATCAGGGGTGACATTTCTCCCCAAGAGATATTTGGCAATATCTGGAGACATTTTTGATGATGACAAATGTGGAACCTACTTGCATCTAGTGGGTGGAGACCAAGAATGCTGCTAAACATCCTACAGTGCACAGGACAGTCCCCCACACAAATAATCATCCAGCCCCAAATGCCAATAGTGCCAAGGTTGAGAAAACCTGTATTATGCAAATACGAACATATTTTTCTCATGTAGCTAGAAGTTAGAGGCCGATGGCTGCTGGCATCTGTGATTCAATAGTGTCAGGGCCAGCACTATGCGATTCCCTTTCTGTTCCTACATAATGATAAAATGGCTGCTACAGCTCCAGGATTTAATTCAAGAGAGAAAGAAAGGGGAAGGGGAAACAGAGCCAACCATGTCTGTCCTCAGTAACCAGGAAAGAAAAGCTTTCCAAAAAACATCCCCCAGGAAACTTCCACTTATATCTCAAAGGATGAAATTGGGTCACATGGCCATCCCTAGACTCAAGAGAGGCTGGGAAATCAAGTATTTAACTGTCTAACCTTTATATGAGAGATGGCCAGGGAGAAAAGGGTGAAAATTACTTTTGTATCTGCCCCGGTGTACACAACTCTGAGCATGGACCTTCTCTAACACACAACCCTGAGCAGTTATTTATAAAATAAAAGGGCATCTGTGGGTCTCAAACGTACAGCATGCTATGGCATCTTCAAAATGTGAGGGATTTGTATACACAAGGAGTGCAATGCGCACTACCCGAAGGATGGACATATTTGAAACACGGACTTCGGTGAGGGGGGAACCAAGGGCAACACACGTAACCTAAACGTATGTACACCCATAATATGCTGAAATAAAAAAAAAATGAAGTAAATTGATAACATAAAAAAAAAATGTGAGGGATCACTTTAGAAAAATTCTGAAATCTGAAAAACAACATTTCTTATTGTTTTAAAGATAGGTGTGTCTTTTTTCTATTATTTCAGCATATTACAGGGGTACAAATGTTTAGGTTACATATATTGCCTTTGCCCCACCCTAGTCAGAGCTTTAAGCATGTAAAGATAGGTGTCTCTTATTTTGAGACTCTGTGAGATAGAATGAATTCTTATTCTTTTCTATTTTGCCTCTGAGAACATTAGGGCTTAGCAAAGTTGAATGGTTTAATGGCAAACTACATAGAAAAGAGAGAAATAGAAACCAGGTCACCTGGCAGTGAGTCCCGCCCTCTTTCCTTCAGAGTCTTAACTTGTTCACTGGTCACTCTGCCTCAAGTTTTCAACCTCTTCAATAGTAGCTAATAATGAGGCTCAGGAAGTTGAAGTTACTTGCCAAGGGCTCGTGCAGTTAGTACTAAATTCTAGAGCCAGGAGTCAAATCCAGCTCTGCATGATAGCAACCTCAACCTTTCTCTATTGCAGAGTCATCACTGAAGATCACATGGACCTGTGCCCCTGCCCCAAAATCATGCAGTAGAATCATAATGCTAACAGAATAAAGGCTAAATTAATTAGAATGATATTCAAGACTCTCTATCGCCTGGCCTCAAGTTCATTTTCCAACAGAATGCCCAACCAAACCCGCATCCCCAACACACACACACACACACACACACACACACACATACACACACACACACACACTTTCTTAAGCCCCATCAGATAACTCACTGTTCCTAGAATGATCAAATGCCATTTCCCTTCCCCTTCTCTATGTTTTTAAAATATACCCCGCTTAAATGCCACTTCCTCTTGGAAGCCTTCAGGATAACTTAGTCTCTTTGTTTCCTATGCTCTGGTCAATCACAGTGTTCATGACTCTCTGGAGCAGTGCTTTTCAAACTTCAATATGCATATGAATCACCAGGGCATCATGTTAAAATGCAGATTCTGATTCAGTAGCTCTGGGTTGGGTCTAAGAGTCTACATTGCTAATAAGCTCCCATGTGACGTGAAGCTGCTGATCTGTAGCATGTATCATGTTCTACCTCATAGTAAAGTTAATATTGGCCATGCCAGGCTCCCCTCACATAATTACAACCTTCCTGATGGCAAGAACCACAGACCCCGTAAAACTTAGCTTGGTGTCTTGAACATAAATAAGTGCCTAAAATTGGAGGCAAATTGGAAACAAAACTGCAGAACAATTCATTCTGTCATCAACTTTTCCCATCTTCAGATGTGAATAGTTTTATATTTTGAGACAGACATAAAAAATGTAATGATGAAATTAAAGGTCCATTTTCCAACAATCTGAGAACTCTTGCTTGGAGCAGCTGCTCAGAGGACTCAAATCCTTGAGGCCGAATCTGGATCAGATTCCTTTGATCAGAAGCCAAAGTCATGGTGATTTCTTCTTTCCTGCAGGCATCTCCAGCTGCCCTGGCAAAGAGCGTGTTGGCCGAAGTCCCAAACCAAGTCGTGGACTATTATAACGGCAAAGGGATTAAACCAAAATGTTCATCAGAAATGTATGAGTCTTCCAGGACACTAGCGCCATGAACTCCACACACTTTTACGGAGTTCTGAAATACTATTCCTGCTAATATTTAATACTTCTACTACTTCCGTACTTAAAAAAAAAACAAAACACGTATACATTTAAAAATAGCACGTTTTCGTGATTTTTAACTACAATTTTTTTTGCATGTGTAGCCCCAGGGCCTGGATCTGTTAAGCCCTTGTATTGTTAATGACTTTTTACAAAGAAACACAAATAATAATAACTTATTCTTTACATTACAGCATGTCGCCTTGAAATAAAATGGTATCTGTATCCATTTTTTATACAGGTTTGTTGAAATTTTGCTAAATTTCTTATTATCTTTACACTATAAAGCATTTTGAAACATTTATTGGATGTTGATAGCCAAAACTTATTTGGTTTTATCTGCTACAAGATGAGAGACTTTTGAAAATGGCAGATGCATGGACTGTATTTTGCATGTTTAAAATAAAAAACAATCCACACTGTTTTTGCAGTTGTTATCTATAATTCCTCCCTGCTAAGAATGGTCTCTCTACTAAAGAAGAGGTTTATTCACCTAGAGATAGTCTTTTTGAAGTAGGTCTGGGGCATGTAGCCCAGCACCTCTCAGACTTTACTGCGCACACAAACCATCAGAGAGTCTTGTTATAATTCAGATTTTGCTGCAGTAGGTCTGTGTGGGGCCCAAGATTTTGCATCTCTAACAAAGTCCCAGGTGATGCTAATGCAGGCCTTGGACTGCACTAAGAGTGGTGAGGTTCTAGACTTTAGTGTGTCATACTAGAGACCATCTGAAACAAGGCAGCTCCTACTCTGCTTGAGAATGGCATCTCTTCCCTGCCAGTAGTGTAAAGGTCCTGCCTGTCTCAGAGGTGAGAGTAGAAAGTAATGAGACTGATTCCAGAAGCTGCACACCCCAAATCAGTCTCACTGCTTTATAGTCACACCTCTTCCTTAAATAAGACTAGAGAGTGCTCCTCCTGGCTGGCCCCTGCCCTCTTAAAGGGGATATCACACACCATCACATGGATGGTTCCATTTTTATGTCAACCCCTAGGAATGACCTCAAAGAGTCTTCACTGGGACCACAACAATGGAACTTGTCCATAGCCAGTGGCCATGCAGTATGGCTCCCCAGATATCTGGTCCACCAAGTTGACCTCTGAGCTTGGTGTGGGGCTTCTTTTTGCCTTTTTGTAATCACCCTGAGAGCAAACTCTATAAGCAGAAATGCCTGGAATCATTGCTTTGGGTGGAGGTGTTTTGTTTCAATATAAGCTGGTCAGTCTTGAACCAAAACAATGAATGTTTCACTTGTATGATCTTCTCACAGAGAAATAGACAAGTGTTTGTAAGCATAAAAGGCCCAAAGTGGAACTTATTTTTGGTCAGAGAGATGGGGAAGTAAATCATAAGACAAAATAAATCTATTTGTTGTCTATTTGTTAGGGGGGCAGTATTAACAAGCAAATCAAATGCTTCGTATGATTTCCAGAGTTATAATTATAGATCCTAATCTTGCAAATACATGTCAACCAAATGCACAACATTTTGGGAATGATGGTAAAAATGTATGACTGAAAAACTAATAAATATTTAAACTGTATTGTTTTATGAATAAATTGGTTACTTACTGCATTTTTTTCTAAGAGTTGTGTTCTTGTTTCTCTTTTCAAGGCAATTTCCTAACAGTGATTTATTTCATGCAGTTAACATGGCCTCAGAATAGGGATAGCTCTTTCACAGTCCAACGGAAACATATGGGTCATTGTTTCTAACAGACAAGGACTTAAACTATTTAGGCAGTATATTACAGAGATATCTGGTGGTTGTTTCTAACCCCAAACCAGGACATGAGCTTCCGTATCTATGTACCTGGAACCCAGTAAGAACTCAATAAATGTTTAATGAATACAGAGATGATGAATGAAAGGTGAATAGACTTGTTAATGTGCCTCACGATTAATCTTTAATCCATTGTAGATGAACAGGAAGGTTAAGTGTTTGTGGCTATCAATCCAAATGATTAACCATGTCATTCTCAAGTATCTGTTGGGATCTCTATACTTGTGTCAGGATCCCTGGGATCTATGAGATGGGGTGATGAGGACAGAGTTCAGTTTGCCTTGCAGAACCTTAAGGCAATTTACTATCCTTTTCATAGACAGACTCAAGTTCAGCTCAAAAGAATAATAAAAATAATATGTAACAATTATTAAAGGGTGTCTTAGCTCATGTTGCTAGAACAAAATACCATAAACTGGGTGTCTTAAAAAACAGAAATTTATTTCTCACATTCTAGAGTCTGAGAAGCCCAAGATTAATGTACCGAACAATTTGGTTTCTAGTGAGGATTCTCTTCCTGGCTTACAGACAGCCATCTTCTTGTGTCCTCATATGGTGGAGAGAGAGTGCAAGCTTTCTGATCTCTTCTTATAAGGGTACTAATTCCATAATGAGGACCCCATCCTCATAATCTCATCTAAACCTAATTATCTTCAAATGTACCTACCTCCTAATACCCTCACACCGGGGGTTAGACATTCAACATACAAATTTTGGAGGGACACAATATTCAGTCTATAATAAGGGGTTACTCTGTGCTGGGCACTGTTCTCAGTGCTTGTCATGTACTATCTCATTTAACACTCCCTGTGAAGGAGGAATTATTATTAGTCTCACTTTGCAGATGAGGAAACTGAGACACAGAGAGGTTAGGTAACTTGCCAAAATCACACAATTATCAAAGTCAGAGCCAGGATTTAAATATAAACACTCTTTCTCCTAAACCCAAATTCATTGTATAATTCTCATTTTCAGCTACCCTCCTTGCACTATACTCATTCACTTGCCATATTAAGTAGCAGATTATTAGGAAATTTGAAAGGAATTAGACTAAAAATAGACCTTTGCCCCAGATTCAGAAATATTTATCTCATCTGATGATTTCTGCTTCTTTGTTATGGGTTCTTGGCATCTTGTGATGTATAATATCCGCCTGGGCACAGTAGAAGAGTCTCAGGCTACAACCAGGTATTTTCCATTTCTTGCTACCAAAGAGATCATTTAGATAGGCTATTACAAATACAGATGCTTCCAGGAGCTGAGCAAGCCATGTAAATAACTGAGGAAGCACGGGTTTAAACAGAGGGACATATAGAGTAAGGCCAGGTGCAATGACTCATGCCTGTAATCACAGTATTTTGGGAGGCCAAGGCAGGAGGATAACTTGAGCCCAGGAGTTCAAGACCAGCCTGGGCAACAAAGCAACTCCTCATCTCTACAAAATGAAAAATTAGCCAGGCACAATGGTGCATGCCTACAGTTCCAGCCCCTCAGGAAGCTATGGTGGGAGGATCCCTTGAGCGTAGGAATTCAAGGTTGCAGTGAGCTGTGATCACTCCACTGCACTGTAGCCAACAGAGTGATACCCTGTCTCAAAAAAAGAAAAGAACACAAAAGAAAAGAGCAATAAGGATGGAGGGAAACTGGAAAGCACGTGTCCAGAGAAGGCGGCTGCTAAACAGCTCCGGGGACCATGCGAGAATGTGGACCCAATAACACCAGTCCATCCAGTTTTTCAAGAGAATTAAAAAATCTGGTGTTTTACTTTAAAACCTACCAATCTGTAAATATTGAAAATCCATTCAAAGTTCAATAACTGTTTTAAACACTACAAGGTCCAAACTGTATGGGTCAAATGAAAAATACCTCTGGGCTTAAGTTGGTTCTGGAGTAAAAATTTGGAACCACTGAGTTATATCCATGTATGGCCTGCCCTCCACTAGGCCTCAACAGATAGTATACACTCTTTAAAATTCTTGAGGACCTTAAAGAGATTTTATTTCTGTGGTTTATGTCTATCGATATTTGTTGTATTAGAAATAGAAACTTTCAATGTAATATATTTTTAATTTATTTAAATAATAATAGACTCATTACATGTTAACATAAAGATAATATTTTCAGAAAAAACTATATTTTCAAAACTAAAAAATAGCGAGAAGAGCAGCATTATTTTATAATTTTGCAAATCTTTAGTGTCTTGTTTAATAAAAGACAGCTGGATTCTTATAACTGCTTCTGCATTTAACCTGTTGTGAAATGTTTTGGTTGAATTACAATGTTGAAAATCTGGCCTCACATGGATATGTAGTTGGAAAGAGGAAGGCTATCTTTAGCTTTTTCAGATAATTGTGGCTAGTCTTCTTTTTACCACATCCAAACTCAACAAATGGTAGTTTTTTAAAGGTTAGTTGCAATGTAGAATATAAAATCATATCAGTAAAACTTTCCTGGCATTTTAATGGTTCTTTTACCCATGCATGATTTTGTAAAATCATCATTGTTCACTTGGAAAATATTGACCCACTCATTTATTCAGAGGTTCCAAATGCACAGTTTATTTTGTAATAGCAAAAGAATCACATGTTCTATTGCTGTACAGTATCACAGATAGTCTTTCATCAGATAGTCTTGAAGTATTAAGAATTTATCAAATTATGGTGGCAGATTCAGGTTTTCCAAAATTCTAATCTTTGCTAGAAAGTCCAAATGTTATCAGGGCAACACATACTGTCAGTTGTTTTTCTCGAAGTGACAAGATCACTTCATTCATTTTCAAGAAAATATCTCCCAAGCCTGAATAACTCTGGTTTATCTGTCAGTGTTTTTTTTTTTGTTTTTTTTTTTTTTCTGAGTAAAAATGATGTCCTGTGGGGAAAAAAGCATCTAGACCAGCTCAAAGCACAATGGCATACATGCTTTTTCTTGAGGCAACAATTTTGGTTAAAATGCAGCAAAAGCACTTTATGGGTGCTTTGCAATTTGTCGCCCAGCATTTGAAAAAGACATCTCAGATGTCAAGATTTAATACAATTAATTTTTCTGCTGCGTCAGGAACATTCTTAAGTAAAACTTTTTTTCCTGCAAGTGTGTGACAGTACAGTACAGTGCCACTTTCTTGATGTGAGCTGAGGCTCCAACAGTTTTACCCACCATTGCTTTTGCACTGTAAGTGCAAATATCAATACAGTGAAAAAGGCAAATAACATCTTAGTGCTGCTATGAAAATAATTTTTACTCCACAACTACTTGGAAGTGTCTCAGGGACCTTCAGGGACCCTGCTTTAGAACTACTTTCTCTAAACTACTTTTCAAAGGGTGTATTAGTTTACTATTTCTGCATAACACATAACCACAAACTCAGTGGCTTTAAACAACACACATTTATCGTCTCACAGTTTCTGTAGGTCAGAAATCCAAGAAGACTCAGCTGGGTCCTCTGCTTGAGGTCTCATAGGCTGAGATGAAAGTGTCAGCAGGGCTGTGTTCCTTACTGGATGCTCTGCAAAGAATCTGCATCCAAGCTCACTAAGGTCATTGGTTGCAGTTGTGAGAACTAAAGTCCCTGTTTTCTTGCTGGCTGTCAGCTTGCCGGGGGGTAGGTGGAATAGTGTTTACTCTGAGAGGTTTCCCACATCCTTTCTCATGCCTTCCATGTGGCATTTCCAGCATTGGTGGGGCAAGTCCCCAAATATTGAATCTCTCTGACTTCTTCTGCATCTCTCTGCCTCCAGCCAAAGAATGTTCTCTGCTTTTAAGGGCCCTTATGATTAGATTGGACCACCTAGATAATCCAAGATTTATTATCCTAAGATCTGTAACCTTAATTACATCTTCCAAGTCCTTTGTGTCATGCAACAGAACATGGTTATGGGTTCCAGGGGTTAGGGCTTGGACATATTTGGAGAGCCCATTCTGCCTACCACACAAGAAATGCAGGATATTGCCAGATGGTTCTTAAAGTAAATGTGCGGTGTTCAAGAACTATAAAAGGGCTTCCCATGGAGACAGAAGGAAAATATAAAAGAGGTCAAGGGGTATTGTGAAAAATACCTGATGATTCCAAACCTCTTCCCAGGAGTTTACTCTAAATCTGTTTGAATACTTCCCTTTTTCAGTCTACTCAGTTCTTGCTAAGTACCAGCCCTGCACTATACTCGGGGGTGGGGATTTGGGGGAGTGTGGAGTTGAGGTGAAAGAGGCCAAAAGAAAACTACATGGTCTCTGCTCCTGGAGGCACACATAGGGCTGCCCTTGAGTTTTAGGACTTTTAAATCCTATTACACATATCATATATGCCTTAACATTTAAAACAGTTAATATTTGAGGATTTTCTCATGAAGATGTGCTTAAACATTGAAAATAGAATGGTGGTGGCAGGAGAGAAGTAGGGACACAGGTGAGAAGAACAATCAAACCTGCTGACCATTTTTATCATCACCCTCTGTTGTGCCCACCACATGAAATAGATGGTCAAATCAGTCTTTAAAAACTCTATTTTCTAAGTATGCCTAGACCCTGTGCCCTCTTCTTGAGCATGGTACAATGGAAATACCTGGTGTTTTCAAGCCAGAGAAACATGGATTTAAATCCAATCTCTGTTACTTAAAACTGGAATGATATCTCTAAGCCTCGATTTTCCTATCTGTCGAGGAAAGGATAATTCCTATTTTGACAGGTTGCTATGAGGATTTGAGATAATGTAGGTAAGCACCTAGAACAATGTCTACAGGGTGGGTTCCCCGAGAAGCAAACTCTAAGACCAAGGAGAGTGCAGGTAGGTTATTAAGGGAGTATT